CACCGGCAGGGCTGGGCTAGCAGGGGCTGCGGGTCGGGAGTGAGGGGCACCGGCAGAGCTGGGGGGGGGCGAGGGCTGGCAGGGGCGTGCGGGTCGGGAGTGAGGGGCACCGGCAGAGCTCGTGGGGGGGGAGGGGCAGCTCCCGGACTCCTGGGTCACTGCAGAGCACGTGGAGCTTGGCCGGTGGCCACGAGCACCTCCGTTGCCAGCAGCAAGGACGCAGGAGGAGAATGAGGGGAGGCCGAGGGCCAAGGTGGCACCAGGCCCAACGGGGAGTTCGGCGTAACCGCGGCGAGCAGTGGGGGAGGGGCAAGAAAGCGGAGCAGGGGGAGGGGGAGAGAAGCCGCGGATGCGGCAGGAGGCGCTAGAGGGGGGGATGGGTTTGGAGCAGGCTCTGGAATTCAAACCAGGCCTCACGGACCCAATATGGACCCTTCCCTGTGCCCTTCCCCCTCTAGGGGGCGCCTGCTCCCACCCGGCCCCAGGACGGGGACTGGCCGGCTCGGGGGGCGGGGGGCGGGCGGGGAATGAAAGAAAAAGAAAGAACAGTGCAATGGAGGGAAAGACCGAAGGGCAGGAGAAGACCTGCCTGCCACCCGGACTCCTGGGTCCAATTGCTTGGGTTCGGGACCCCTGCCCCCCCGTCATGATGGTTCCCCAATATCACCGCAGCTCCCGTCCCCTCATCAACCCCCTGCCAGGAAAATCCCCAGGACTGGGCTATCCAAGGGGAAACAGTGCGTTGTGTGGAGCAGGGGGCGCTAAAGGCCGATACAGACCGGTCCATATAAACGCCGCCATGTTTGAAACCCAAATTACAGCCGTAAGTGATTGATTTCTCCACAGGAAACAATTCATCAGTGGAGGTTTCGACCAACAGGGGATTAGGGAGAGAACGCAAGAATCCTGGCTCCCAGCTCTAACCACCAGCCCCCACTCCCCTCCCAGAGCCGGGCAGTCCTGATCTCCATTGACCCAGATCTTGCAGTAGCACAGAGAGGCATAGCCCAATACAGGCCGGTCCATACATTTCCTCCAGGAATGGGGCCCGCTCTAGCCCCGTATAGACCAGTCTGTATAAAACATCAGGGGTGACTGAAAATCAAAGACACCACACAGCAGGTATATCACCGAGGGAACGGCGCAACATCAATACGTTTCATCCAGTGGGGAGCAATGAAGTCCTATATGGACCAGTCCATATTGACCCTACTGTGGTTTTAAACCCAAGAATCAGGGATGTTTGTTTATCTGAGGTAGACAACACTTTTTGTGCTCATTGGGGGTGGGGTGGGGGATTATTACCCAATATAGACCAGTCCATATAAACATCACCAGAGCTGCAAATGAAACACTCACTGGCATTTCTTACTCTGAAAACAACGATTCCGGGGCAACAAACCTTTTGGCCAGCAGAGGGCATTCTAGTTTAGATACAGCCCGGTCCATATACTGAAAGCATTCCACCTACCTACTCTGTCCCTCCCCGAATGGCACACACTATCCCGGCTCCTCCACTTCTAACCTGGGCAAAACACCCCCTGTCCCCCACGAGTGGTGGTCCATAAATAATATTGGTTTACGGTGCCCTCTGCTGTCAGCACCAGGCATTTCAAGGAAAGATGGTCAATATATGCCACATATTGCATGATCGGCTCTGTCACAGTGCCCCCTGCTGTTAGAACCAGGCATTGCAAGGTAAAACAGTCAATATTGAAGTCTATCACATGATCGGCTCTGTCACAGCATCCCCTGCTGTTAGCACCAGGCATTGCAAGGAAAGCAGGTCAATATATGCCACATATTGCATGTTTAACCTGTCACGGCACCCCCTGATGTTAGCACCAAGCATTCCAAGGAACGACGGTCAATATATGCAGTATATTGCATGATCGGCTCCGTCACCGTGCCCCCTGCTGTTAGCACCAGGCATTGCAGCCCGGGCATTAGCAGGAAATACCCCAAGCTCTGTACCGTGCCCCCTACCATTGGCAATAGGCCATTACAGGGCTATACGGCCCACACCCCGCGCCCCCTCGCCGCTCGGAAATCACTCACCGGGTGTTTTTTCCAGCCGGCCTTTCCGCCCACCGCAGAGCCGGACTTTGGAGATTAAAATGAGCAGCTGCTTCTGACAGAGGGATTTGGTGCCGCGGGGACAGACCTTTCTCTGTGCGGCCACGGGGCGGCTGGCGACGGGTTCCCGGATCTCCCGTTTCTGCCGGATCAAGGAGCTGGCCAACGCCGCCATGGTGCTCCGCCAGCCGGTGCCCCGCTCGAGGCGGTTTCACGCCGCGCTCATCCCCCCGAAGAGCCAAGCCATGGGGGGGGGGATTATACCCACCCCTCCCTAGATAAATCTGGCTAGGGGCGAATTTAGCCCCCGGGGGGGTCGCTGGGTTCTTTCTCCCCTTTCCAACAGATCGGCCGAGAGCTTAATAAAGCTGAGTGTCTCCCCCCCACCCCTGCCGCCTCCCTGCCCCAACCAGGGGTGGTCAATTCTTTTTGTTGGTCACGGTGCGAACGTCTTGCTCAAGGTCCGGACTCCGGCGAGGACGAGAGACCAGGACGCTGCTCGGCATCGGCAAAATCGATTCCCTTCCAAAGTGACCAGCGGTCCAGATTTGGGGGGGTCTCCCGCGGTCCTGGCTCCACCCCCGTCTCTCCCCACACCGTAGCCTCCGGGATATTTCCAGGAAGCGCGGCGGGAGGCAGCCGAAAGAAATCAGCGCAAACTCGGTCTCCGAAAATCCCGCGCCGCCCCGGAGCTGGGTCGGCACCAGAAATGGAATGAGCTGGTGGCAAGATTCCTGGAGATCGAACTTCTTTTATTCCTCCGGGCACCGGGCGCCGGGCTCCGGAGAAGGCGGGGTGGGTGCATGGCCCCCCCCAAACAGACACACACAGCGCTACACCACCGCGGTTGTCCTTCAGCCGGCGAGGTTAATTCGTGGATAGCACAGGCTGCTGTGTATGTGTGTGTGTGTGAAACAGCAGAGAAGCGGAGGGGAGGGATGGAGGGATGGGAGAAGGGCGGGGATGGAGAGAGAGAATGAGACAGAGGGATGGCGAAAGACAACACACACACACACACACACACACGAACCTGTGGGCCCCCCCACCCCACCCTTGGGGAACCGTGGGAATTCCCCACGCCTGCCCCAAAGAATGGCTCTGTTCCAGGCCCTCCAGATTAGTATTGGGGAGCCCCCTCCCCATGTCTAGCTTAAAATTGGGGACCCCCATTTCCCCCTCAATGCTAGCTCAGTTCCAGTCTAGAAGTGGGGGCCGCTTGAGCCTCCAGGCTGGCTGAGACCACCTGCACCCCCCCCCAGAGATGGGGTGTCTGTAGCAGGGTGTGGGGGATTTGGGGTCCCCCAAACAGCCATCTCCCCAGTGCAGCAGGCAATGGGAGAAGAATGATTGGGGTTCCTGCTCGCTCTGGGAAGCAGGAAGGGGGAGCTCCAGGTTTTGGGGTGTCTGCGCTCACCCCACAAAAAATGTCCAACAATTTAGCAGAGGGATTTGGGGGGCTGGGGAATCCCTGAGCTTCTTCCCCTCAAAATGGAGGACTGGAAGACACTTAAAAATGGTTACCCCCAAACCTTTTCCACCTGCCTGGATTTGGGGGTGTTTATCCTGCCCTGAAGAAAGCAGGATTGAGGGGGGCTGAGGTGCTAACCCAGCCCTGGGCTACCCCCAGCCCCTCACTCCCTTCCCGCAGCCCCCTGATAGCCCGGCCCTGCCCCCCCAGCTCTGCCTGTGCCCCTCACTCCCGACCCACAGGCCCTGCCAGCCCAGCCCTGCCCCCCCCCCCCAGCTCTGCCGG